CCAGGCCTTTTCTTCCTCGGGGTGGCTGGTGGGTTCGAACCACCTTTCGGGGAACCATTGCACCACCTAGGTGCTCAGGGCAGGCTGGCTGAGGGGATGGCAAGAGGGAGGAGATGCAGCTGTGCCCGCCAGAAGGCTCCACTGAGACGGGAGCAGAAAATAAACAGCAATTCAACCTCACAGACGATAACCCCTCTAAGCTGTTTCCTCGTCCACAAAACAGAGACAGCCTTTCTCTTAGGGGGTTTTAGCAAGGATTACATGAGATTATTTTTATAAAGTGTCAGACACTACTCCCTAGATACTCAATAAATGGTAATGATTCCTGAAACCCACACACACCCAACAGAAGAGATGTCACAGGGCAGGGCAGGCCCAGTGCCAAGGCTGTGGCCAATCAGAGAGAGCAGGGCTGGAGCGGGGGATGGAGGAGGCGGGCAGAGTGAAAGCAGCAACTGTGGTGGGCTAAGACGACCTCCCAACCTGCATGGGCCCTAGAAGTTGCTAGAATGCGTGGGATAGTCTGGGACATTCCCATATTCACACTCACATCACTCTTGGGTTGAGACAGCATCTTCGCCTTATGGATGCCAGAAGTGAGGTACGTGGGCCATCCGTGGTCACATGGTGTCAGGGACAGGGCCTTCTGCCCAAGTCTTTCCTTTGTGCCAGAGGCAGACGGGATGGAGAGGGTGGGAATGAAATGAGGGGCTTGCTTCACAGAGGACAGCAACCTGCACGTAGTGGGTACTCGGCTGAATGGAATCCAAGCAGACCAGCCTGGACCAAGTGCCCTGGTGCTTCTGGAAGCCTCAGCCCTACCCAAAGGCTTCCTTCCAGTGCCCAGCTGACCCCGCTTCCCACTGTCCTAAGGCCAGTCAGCTGCTTCCCAAAGCAAAAAGGTCACCTCTTTCTTTTAGAGAGTCCCATCTGGGACTCTTAGACTGTTTCAAGGTAACCTTTAGGCTGGTCTTCTTTTGTTGGACATTCGAGAGGCAAGTTTCAGTCTTGTGTTCAGGGAAACCCCTCGCTGGGCTGAGAGCCACAGATGTGCAGGGACCGTCACGACCCCAGCTCCTCTACCCACAGGAGGAGGAAACAGCAGGGTGTGCCTTGCAGTGACCAAACCAAAAAAAAGAAGAAAAAGTACAAGATGTCGAGGGACAAAGGGAGCTTTTCTGTTCCGGGTCAGGAGACAGGATGAATACCTGCTTTATGGGCTCCAGGGCCTTGGCCAAGACTTCCAGGTCAGAAATATGGGCAAACAAACCCAGAGGATCGCTGCCAGTGGGGAGCCGGGCACCACGAGGCCCCCCTTGGAGCGGTCACCCATCTGGGAGTCAGGTGAGCGGGAACAAAGCTGGATTCATGCAGGGCCAACTCACCAAGTGTGGAGGGCAGGAGTGGGCAGCGACTGGCCGAGGGTCAGCCTCACAGCTCTCTCCATCTGGAAGCCCCCTCCCCTCGCTCTGCCAGGCCCTCAAAGGAAAAGGTAAGCATCGCAGCCATAGAGAGAAGAGGAGACCAGGGAAGGGAAGTGACTGGCCTAAGGTCACTCACTGAATCAGGACAGAACCCTCCACAGTGGTCCTGGACCTTCCTCCTGCCTCGACCCTTTCATGCAGTTCCTCATGTGGTGGTGACCCTCAACCATCACATTATTTTCATTGCTACTTTGTAACTGTAGTTTTGCTACTGTTATGAATTGTCATGTAAACATCTCATATGCAGGATGTATTTTCATGGTTACAAATTGAACATAATGAAAGCATAGTGATGAATCACAAAACAATATGTAATTACTGGTATATATTGTGAAATATTTATTTCTAATTGCAAATAAGTGAAATTTTGTCTTGAAGCATGGTGTCGCATAGGCAACAGTCTTCACGCTGGGTACTCGATGGATAGAGGAGCGGTGTCTCGGTGCCTAAGACCATCGGAAAATACTGCATGTGTTTTCCGATGGTCTTAGGCGACCCCTGTGCAAGGGTTGTTTGACTCCCAAAGGGGTCTCGGCCCACAGGTTGAGAACTGCTGCTCTAGAACTTCTGCTCCATCCCCACCCTCCCACACCTGTCTGACAAAGTGTCTTGCTCAGACTCTGCTCAATGATTAGGAGATTTGGGATAAAAATGAGAGCAGTGTGCAGCATTTTCTATTCTTAAAGGAGGGATACCTTGCCAGGGAGCAGCTGCTAAGGATGACAGAATGAGGGCTCCAACGACGCTCCTATCCATGCTGGGGGCTGAGAGGACAGGCAAGCACCCAGAACAGGTTCCTGGGCTGTGGTGGCTCTGTGCTGAGGCAGCAAGCCCCCCCGAGCCCCCAGCCCAGGCCCAGAGGCAGCTGGGGTCAGCTTTGGCCACAGGAAGAACAAAGGCAGTAGACCCCTGAGACCTACAGGAAGGACTCTGGTGGCAGCTAGGGTGGACAGCTCTGCAGCCCTCTAGCTGCTGGTGGCAGGGCACTGTGGTTTGGGTGGCCTGCTGCTCACCCCAAGATCGGTGGTTCAAACCGAGCAGTTGCTCTGCGGCAGGAAGATGAGCTGGCTGCTCCCGTGGAGATGTACTGTCTCCGGAACCCTAGAGGGGCTCACTCTGAGTCAGGGGCGACTTAGTGGCAGTGGGTTTGGGGTTTAGTGTCAGAGGCGGGCTAAAAGGCTGAGGCAGGGAGGCTTTTGCCTTAGGTGTTTAAATACAACGGGAGGAGCAGCAGCCACTCATGGAGCGCTTCCTGTGTGTACAGTACTGCACAGTCAGCTCTGTACACCCTAGTTTTGCGTCAGGCCAGAGCAGCAGCCCTATAGCTACAGCTAAATACGCTTTATTTATTTCCCCCACGAGGAAACCAGGGCTCCCAGAACAGTGGAAGCTAGGCCTGACCTTGGTTCTATACAGCAAAGGTGGGTGGAATATGGGCGTTCACTTTTGTCACCCTGACAGGGACCACTGAGACCTTGGACATCCCTCTCTCCAATCCCTTCTCTGGGCTGGCTGGCTGTGGAAGCTGCTCTGCTGTCTGGGGCAGAGACGCCTTCCTGAGCCAGACACTGACTTTCTACAACTGCAAGCACCCTTGGAGATGACATCCAACCTCCACGTGGTAGGATGGGAACACTGGGGGCCGAGGGACGGACCAGGGTTACCCGAGTCAGAGGAATGGCAGCAATGGCAGACCTGGAAGGGGCCCCAGGGACCAGCTGGCAGGTGAAGAGGCAGGGTTGGCCCAAGGTCACTGAGGAGCTGGATGGGAAACCAAGTTTCCTGACCTCTAGACAGACGCACTTGGCAGGCCCACTGTCCAGCCCAGGCCCCCCTGCTGATGGTGGGAGGCCATGCTAGACCCCCTTTAAGACTGGACACGCTGGCCTGCAGGCTATCTGTGGTCATGCCATCATCCCACCATCACACACTGCTACCCAGAGTGTGGGCACCAGCATTCAACGCCCTTAACACAACAGGGCTGGCCGGGAGGGTGATGAGTCTGGAGGGGGAGGACAATCCTGCCTGGTCTCACACAGGCCAAGGACACTTCCCAGTTGCCTCTGCTTCTTGCAACTTAGTTAAGACATTTAGAGAGTCTTGCCCATTTCACAGGTGGACGGCATCAGCCGGAAAAGGCCCCGGTTTGTTGAAGGTCATCTCACTCTCTCACATTCAGTACCAGCAGCTCCCTTGTCCAGGCCTTGACTTTTCCTGCGAAGCTGGCTGTCATCAGGGGACAGGGGCTGGTGGCCCAGCTCCACACGCAGGCCCAGCCACTGTGACCAGTTCAGCACCTGCAGCTGGAAGCTGGCTCCTGGATCTGTGCAGGCTCAGCGAGAGCCCAGGGCACCACAGCCCTCCTGCAGCAAGTCCCAGAGCCTGTCTCACACCAGCATGGTAGTGCCACTCAGCGCCTGCGTGTCCTTGTGAAAGTAGCCAGGCTTCCTGCCAAGAGTCACATACACCCCAAACCTCCACACTGGGCAAGGGGGGAGCAGAGTCCCAGGCTCCCAGGCCTTCCACAGCTCGCCTGGAAAGGCAAAGGCAGCATTCTCAGCCCCCTGGACATGGCTTACTGGGATATCCGGGCTAGGCAGGCTCCACTGAGTCCCCTCAATCTACCACCCAGTGGAACAGGGCACACAGGCCTGGCAGGGAGACCAACCCTTGGCAGGGGTGAGGCGTGGGAGGGGGATAACTTCCGTTCCTTTCCCTACAAAGAGCCTTTCCAATTTCCAAGTCTCCTCAGACCAAAACATCCCCAGCAACTCCACCCGGGGCCTCCCCTACTTAACTGAACAGCAAGCCAATGTCACTAACAGGTTCAGACGACACCTTGAAACACAGCCAGGTGTAAACTTACAGGTGAGTTGGGGCCAGACTAAGCCCCTACTCTGCCACCCCAAAACCGGCTTCCATAAGTGGTATAAGGGGTGGCATTCCTAGACTGGAAACTGGCTTGGGGGTTCCTCACTACCTCTCTGGGGATGGTGGGAAGGTGGGGCCATGATGCTCCCTCACAGTTGGCCACACGAGTGCCCCAGTCCCCAGCAACATTCAAACTCCTCCAGCCAACTAGAAATACACGCCATCCAGGGCCAGCCTACCGTGAAGTGTGTAATTGCACCGGCCTCTGATGACAAAACAGAACGTGTCACCTGCTGGGAGACTGTCCTGTCTCACACACAGCTAGGTGCTGGCTCCCCATGGGGTCTGGCCCAGTCTGAAGAGACTGACCAGGCCTGGAAGGCTCGCTGAAGATCCCTAGTATCGCCCTCCCTGCACTCCTGCTCTCAAGAGAGACTGCCTCTAATTTGGCAGGTCATCGAACCAAAGAGGCCACCAAGCTCAAGTGCAAGAAAGACCAAGCTGGAGGGCTGGAGGCTGCCTAAGTTACAGGAAGAATCCAGACCCTTACCCCTGGGCGAAGCCCACAAGGGTAGAGATGAGGCAAGGTCTTCGTCTGGTGGTGGCGATAGCAGCTGCCGTATTGGAGCACACGGGCGTACTTACCTATCTTCATGAGACATGCCAGCAGGATCCACAGGGCGATCTCGAAGGGTGTGCGCACGTGTCCGTAGTCGATGCTCAGGACTGGAAAGGGCTTCCGTGGCTTTGTGCCGTGATCGGTGGCGGAGTGGTTAACAGGGCGACTTTCTGGGGTGACCTCTGGTGGGGCCGTGGTGACATCCCCGATCGAGCGTTCCCGTGGCGGGTCGGAGCCCCGGATGGTGCTGGCAGTGGGGCTGGGCTGGAGGCCGTGGCTCCTGAGAACGGGCAGCAGCCCCACCAAAGCTACCACCACCAGGAACGAGGGGAAGATGCGTGGTGTGGTGAGGCCACAGGTGCCCGACCACAGAAGCATCTTCTGGCTCCCTGGGCCCACCAGGCCCCAATCTTTAGCAGAGGGAGCGTTAGAGCTGGGACATAGGTAGCAAGGGATCAGCAGGTGGGAATAGAGACTGGGCTGTCTCTAAGAAAAATTCATGTTTAGACAGGCTATTTTTGTGCAAGTTGCCCTCTGGGAGTAAGGAGAGGCTAGGGGCTTTTGCAAACTCCCAAGTTTTGAAAGCAAGATCTGGGGCTCCAAACTGGGGGAGGGGGCACGGACCCAGTAGGACTACTGGAGGGTACCAAAGGGTCTGGAACCCCAGGTCCGCTAACGGGGCCGGGAGGGGACACAGGGTCCTGGGGCAGCGGAAGGGGCAGGGAAGGCTAGCCCCCCCAGGGAAAGGTGGGGCAGAGGGAAAGCTGTGAGTCTTGGCTGCGGAAAGAGACGGGGCTGGGACGCGGGGCTAAGGGAAGAGATCGGAAGCCGGGGCTAAAGGAAAGGGACCGAGATGGGTGGAGCCAGTCCCGGAGAAAGAGAAAGGGGGGCGGGAGGGGGGCTGGAAGCCCACGCTGCGAGGAGGGAGTTGGAAGACCGAAAGCGGCCGCTCGCTTCCCCACCCAGAGACGGGCCGAGATCCAGGCGCTCCGGGCTGAGATTCCGGGGAAATGGAGGGAAGCGGAAGGCGGAGGCAGGCGACCCGGCGGGAAGGCGCCGTGCTGCGGGCTGGGGGAGGTTCGCGGTGGGCCGACGACCACGCGCCCCTCCTCGCGACTCAAGCGTAGCGTGGCCCTCCGCCCGGGCCCAGCGGCAGCTGCTCCGTAGCCTCCTCCAGAGCTAGCAACGGCCCCGGCGCCCACCCGGCCGGCCCCGGCAGCAGCGGACTGATGCCGCGCTGAACCCGGCGCTGGCACTTATAGGCACCAGCGAGCAGCCGGTGCACAAGGCTAGAGAGGTCTCTCCGTGCCGCGTCCGCAGCGCCCCCTATCACCGTGGGAGAGGTATCACGTGGGGGGTGGCGGGTGGCGGGTGGCGGGTGGCGGGTGGCGGGACGGGAGGATGGGATTTAAAACGACAAAGATCCTAACTCACTCAAGTAAAGTATTTTGCTATTTACAAAACACTTCCATGCCTTTAAATCCACAGCCTCATGAAAGCCTCTTAAAGTGAAGAATAGATGATCATGTGCACGGTTACTATGTGACCTTGAGCAACTTTCGAACCCTCTCTGTTTTCCACAACGTTCTCATCTGTCAAGTAGAACAGTAGTAATGCCTGTATCAGAGAGAGAATCTGATGACAAAAGCAAAGAATGACTTTAACGTATTGTGGCACTTGATCAGAAAGGACCAAAACCCGGAGGACACCATGTTTGGTGAAGTACATGGTCAGTGTGAAAAAGGAAGGTATTCTAGCAGATGCATCGATACAGTGGCTGCAACAATGAGTTTAAATGGAGCCACAGTTGTAAGGACGAGGCAGTGTTGTATCTGGCCTGCATAGAGTTGCTATGAATTGGAACATACGCAACACATTGTGATTTTATGTCAACTTAAGCGGGCCAGGATTCCCCCTTGACATGATCTAACATGGTGTGATTAACTTCATCATGGGCAAGCAGTTGTGGGGAGACTAGACCTCCTTAATCTGGCCATAGCCTTGGTGTGCTTGCGGGAGGTTTTCATTGCAGGTGTGGCCTGCTCTTAGTATAAATTGACAGTGCGTGGTAGCTGGCGCATTTCCACTGCTGGATTTGGATCCTGCATCTAGTTGGTCAACCTCCTGTTATATTGCCTGCTGATCCCAGAAGCCATCAGTGGACCTACTGACCTTGGATCATTTGGCCGGCCTCAGATTCGTTCAGCTCGGTGTCCATCAGCCTGTGGTCTTCCTGCTGTGTCTTCCTGCTTCCTAGTTGTCAGTCCCTGCAGCTATAGGGGTCAGGAGGAGTTGACATAGGACCCGCAGACAGGAACCAGACTGGAATTACCCACTGGACTTACAACAGTGTGAGCCATTTCTTGATATTGATCTCTTTCCACAGACATACACATACATCACTAGCTTTGCTTCTCTGGGGAATCCAGTCTAACATGAGCACCTAACAACACAAGAAGGGAGCTTAAGCCATAGAACAACCATTGTGGTTCCAATGTTGCAGGTGGAGAAACTGAGGCAAAAAGAAAACAGGAAAAAGGAGAGCTGAGATTTGTAGCTGTGGTGCTGGCTAGAATTGGTAAACTCTCAAGAGCTCATGGCTCTTGAGCACATTAGATTCCCTGGAAAGGTTTTTCCCTCTAGATTTTTAAAAATTTTATCCTTGTTATTGAAATATACACAACAAAAACATAGGCCGTGTCTGCAATACAGTACAGTACAAAAGTTAATACAATTAAACAGTTTCTACATGTACAAATTTCATAGCACTGATGACATGTTCCCAGTTTTCCAATCATTCTCACCCTCCTTCAAACCAGACTCCCTGCCATTGAGTCAATGCCCACTCCTAGTGACCCAACAGGACAGAGTAGAGCCACCCGTGTGGGTTTCTGACACGGCAACTCTTTATAGGAGTAGAAAGCCCTGTCTTTACACTGTGAGTGGCTAGTAGTTTCAAACTACAGATCTTGTGGCTGGCTGCCCAGTGCATAACCACTATGCCACCAGAGCTCCTTAAGCTAAATTGACTCCAGGGAATATTTTTGGTTTAAGGATTATCTCAGGGCAACAGTTTCAAGGGTTCCTCTACCTTCCACGGATGCAGAAAGTGTAGAGTCCCTGAGAACTTGAGAGTGCACGCTGCATTTTCTACTTTTTGGTCAGGATTCTTTCATGAATGTTTGATCAGCGTGCTCAGTACTGTCAGTTGGGTCCCCTCTAAGTCTGGTCTCATGGCAAAAGAGACAGTTGCTCATGGAGGCAACTAGCCACATGTTCCATATTCGCCTCCTGTTTCTGACGCCCCTTCAGATGCTCCAGGTGAATAGAGACCAATTGTTGTGCTCGGATTGGCCTCTTGCAAGCTTTGAAGACCCCAGGTACTAGGCATCAAACTAGGAGGTAGAGTAGAAACACTAAGCACATTATTAGACCAAATAACTTGAATGGTCCAGGAAACCATGACCCTCAACTCTAAACCAAGAAACTAAATCTCGAGATGCATTGGGTTGTATATGAAGAGCCTTGGAAACTACTCTGTGTTGTTGTTATTGTTGAAAATGCATTTATCACACAACTTTTGCCAGTTTAACTTTTTGCAGATGTACAAATTATTAATTAACAGCAATTATAATCGCCTATCAATCCTACCCTTGACCAATGAAAATTTTGCATCACGCTTAACCCCCTTGTCCCTTCCCTCTCACTCCTGGTAACCACCAATAATAAGCTTCAGTCTCTATAGATTTGTGTGGATATATATATATATATATATATATATACACACACACACACATATATTTACATATGTATGCATATATCTTTGACAAGATATACGTATGAGAGATCTATGGGCTCTTTATATAGACATATATATGTGATTGTATAATATTTGTCCTCTGATGATTGGCTTATTTCACTCAGCAGAATATCTTCAAGCTCCATTCATACTATAGCATGTATCAAGACTTCAAGACCTCCCTGGAAAGTTTTCAAAATTCTTGCCTGGGACCTGCCGGCAGAGATGTGAACTTCGTTGCCATCATGAGTCGGAGTGGACTTGAGGGTAACCAAGAAGACCAAAAGCAAGGACAGCGCCAGGATGGGCATTTTTTCAAAAGCACGCCGAGTGGCTCTAAGGCACCATTAGAGTTGAGAATTAATGAAATAACTGAAACACTGCCCCCATTTTGCAAAAGATTAAATCAAGGGTCCAGAAATTCCAAGTGACTAGCTCAAAGTCACCAGTAACTTCACAGGGTTTAGTAATCTTTGCTGTGCTTCGTGTGGCAAGGCTTGTGCTGGTCTCTGGCAAGACATGTTTTTTTGCCTTCAAGTAGAAGCTTCCTAACTCCTCATCGAGTATTCTTTCCACTACTCTGGAATGTCGGGAAACAGAAGGCACACTGCATTCTTAAGAAGCTGTTCCTTCCTCCTGTAGGTTTTTACGTCAGTCCTGGGCCTCTCTGATTGTCTGGGACAACAGAACACGGTGGAGAGTGTGACGATGGAGTCTGACTAAGCCGGACTGTAATATTAACTCCATCCATTCTGGGAAAACTTAGACAAGTCCCGTCACCTCTTTGTGCATATCCCTTCTTCCTAAAGTTGGAATAGGGACACAAATAGTATCTATCTTATAGTATTTTGGTGATAGAATCATGGTAATAATTTCTTTTAGAAGAATTGATAGCAGACTAGTGTCACGGAGTTAGAGATTAACTACGTCCCAAATGTCCAACCTTCCCAAGATGCTAATTTGTGCCTTTCTTCCAACACCCATCTCGTCCCTTGAGTATATTTCTTCACATCCCTGGGTTCTTTGGTTTGTTGCAATGTCCCACAGAAAATCACAAAACTTTGAAGAAATGTCTCACATGGTGGAGGGTGATGTTCAGGCCCAAATCGGAAGATCAGGCAGAGGCGGGCCAAATGCAGAGATCCAGAGGCAAAAGGAAAAATCTTCAAAAGTCAGGTCTTCTTGCTTTGCCAAATCTGCGTCAGGAGATAGAGGTCTGGCTTTCAAAGTGAGGTGATGTGTGTTAGAACCGTACATTGGCTTCTGC